ACCTCAGGATCCAGGTTGTGCTTCTTCAGGACAGGTCTGATGGCTGCCAGCTTGAGGGAGGGGGGGACCTCACCACTCAACAGGGATTTGTTTATTATGATGGTGGCAGTTGGAATAATGGATGGAGAGCAGACTTTCAGTAGGGAGGTGGGGATAGGATCAAGGGCGCAGCTAGATGAGGTCATTGCTGAGATGATTTTAGAAAGCTCAGCTTGCGTGACCTCCGTGAATCAGTTAAGGGTTGGTGCATTTGACGGAGCAAGTACAGGATGTTGGGGAAAGACAGGTTGGTTTGAGGAGGCTTTGGCGATGTTAAGCCTGATGTTTTCAATTTTTGTTTTAAAAAGTTCCATAAAGCGGTTGCAGTCATCAGTTGTAGGAGTGGTTGATGAAGGATCACTAGGCTTGAGCAACCGATGTATTGTGGAGAATAGGTGCTTGGGTTTGTTACGATTTGTCTCAATCAAATTGGAGTAGTAGGCTGACCTGGTTGCTCTCAATGCCCTCTGATTTTTGCGCTCTGAGCTGGTCAGTGTACCATGGGGCAGAGCGATGGAAAGACACCACTCGGGTTATTTCAGGTGCCAGCCTGTCTAGGCACTCATGCAGGGTGGTATTACACTGGTGCACATGCTCTGTCCGGCAGTGGCTCAGTCAGTAGGGGCTTGGACTGGGAGCTGTAGGGTCGCCGGTTCAAGTCCCCGACCAGACCTAAAATGTGGAGTGTGGACTGCTACTTGGAGAGGTCCCAGTTCACCTCCTGCCCTGCCGTGGTGCCCTTGAGCAAGGCACCGGACATCCCCCTTCCCCCCTCACTCCCATTGCTCCCCGGGCGCTGTACAATAGCTGCCCACTGCTCCTAGTACTAGGATGGGTTAAAAGCAGAGGCCAAATTTCACTGTGTGTGCTGTGTGCTGTGTGCTCTGCATGTGTGACCATTAAAGAGGGGTTTCATCCCTCCCAATTCTTCTTCTTCTTCTTCTTCTTCAAGTGAGAGTGCAGCATGGGGCCTGGATAGGGCAGAGGAGAGGGCAGACGTTAGCTGACTATGGTCTATGTCCTTGGTCTTACGGAAGGTTATGGTATGTCTTTTGCCAGGATCCAATGGGTGAGACATGACATCCAGCAGCACCATCCGGTGATCAGACATGCCAAGCTCAAGAGTGTGGGTTTTGGTAACCGTGACATCACCAGTGATGGCAAGATCAAGGGTGTGGCCATGTTTATGAGTAGGCTGTTGTATATGTTGGGTAAGAGGGAGACAGTCCAGGAGGTTGAGAAAGTCTGTGGCCAGTGAGCACTTAGGGGCATCAACATGAATGTTAAAGTCCCCAAGGATAACCAGCCTGGTGAAAGTAGGGCATATAGTTGTGAGTAGGCTTGAGAAGTCTGAGATGAAGGTTTTATTTGCCTTTGGTGGTCTATAGATAGAGACGATTAGTAGGGGTTCTGGAGCTAGGCATTTTGCCATTTGGTGAGTAAGCTAGCTGGCAAGTTAACTATTTGGGAAAGGTACTTTGACACTTCAAGCCAACAATGTGTATTGTGTGCAAGCTGAGGGTGTAAAGTTTAGAAAAAGGATGAATACAAATAGATAAATTAAAACTCATGGGTTAGCATGCTCAATCATGCTACATCAAACAGCTAGCTAGGAAAAATGAGCAGAATGCGTTTACAAGTTATAAAATGGGTACTTTGCTTTAGGCTACTCTTTCCTAGTTACCAGAAATATCATTAAAAATGTAAAAGATATTCTGTTTTTAAATACAAATTTGAAAGCATGTAGTATTTTGGCTCAGAAAGTGCAGTATTGTGGGCTGCACATGTTATGGGATGCTTGCAAATGAAGTGATCTGTACATAGGATGGAAGAAGGCTACTGAATGAAGTGCATGGTAACAACTCAAATAAATAGACTTTCAACCAAAACATGCCGGAAGACCTAGTAGGAAATTGTGTACAAAAATTCCAGATGTCCCAATATTAACTTCCCTTAGAAGAGTGCTGACCCTTTGCGACAATAGTCAGGTGTGATACCACCATGCCTTTACAGACACCAACCACCTGCATTTATATAGTACTTTTTAAATAGTTTAAACTGTTTCAACGGCATCATTTTAACCAACTGCTTAAGTGTCCTAAACCTAATAATTCAGGATGCAAAGTTCAGCACAGTCTACTACACCAAGCCATCCAAGACAACCTCAACTCCCAACCACATCTGAATTTAAACAAGGCAGGAATGAAGTTTCCTCAAAAATATGTAGTTTTTAAGCAAACAAGTAGTATGTATTTTGGCTTGAAAGCATTCCGCTAAACAGCATACATGACCAGAGCAGAAGTCTAGTCATTAGCCCTAATGCACCTACTGTTTGTGTCTTTTATTGAAAAAGCCAGGCTACGTAATGGCCCCTTCAAGGTGGAGATGCTGGAGTAAAGTGATGAGTCAGCAAGATAACGCTGCACTGGGTTGATCCACTTAGAGATGTTTCATCCTAAGAGCTGTTTTACTTACCAGGGAAATTGTAACAGTGGGCACATGGTTAGCCTAGCTTCAGTGAAGGTGATGTAAAGGTAAGGTTTTAAAGATCAACCTTATATCTGTTTGAAAGGTATGGCACCAACTAAAAGGATGTATTAGCGTGAGTGTAGAACTAAATGCTGCACTTTCACATTTAAAAAGAAACATTTTCTCCAATAACATGATATGACCTCACTAAAGGAGAGGCTTCAACGCCAAGGTAAAGCAGTTCAACCTGACCTCTTTTGAAATAGCATTAATGTATTTCCCCTGCCTTTCAGAGTGGCATATCTGCATTCCTGAATAAGAACACTCCAACGTTTTAGGTTGGTAGGATCAAGCAGGGCTTTACCGGAAAAGGATTGAAGCCCACACATGCATTTGGGTACCTGTGTCTGTGTGTGTGTGTGTGTGTGTGTGTGTGTGTGTGTGTGTGTGTGTGTGTGTGTGTGTGTGTGTGTGTGTGTGTGTGTGTGTGTGTGTGTGTGTGTGTGTGTGTGTGTGTGTGTGTGTGTGTGTGTGTAGAATGTAGCTAAAATGGGACAACTGTCACACAAGCCATAACTAGGACACCATGAATTATGCACCACTATCCAGATAACGAATGGCTGAAGGATTACCTGTGATATATCATTTAACTGCAGCATGTTTCTGACACACTGCTCTGTATACCTTAACAAGAAACAAATCACAGTAACTGTGAGGTGCAGGAATATCAAATGTATACACAATTCCTAGAAAAGGGCTGCTTCTTCACACACCACCTGCTGATGAAGACCATGACATGAGGATAAAAGTGTGTGGATGAAGATCCTCAAGCATGATTATAGGTCATTCTTTGAAATTTAAGAAAGAGCTTTCATGCTCCAACCCTATTTTCTTTAATAAACATACAGAAGCCTGGGGTCGGATTTCGATTCAAAGCCAATATCAGATTTGTTCAGAGCTTGGTATTGGATTGAGTATGGCTGGATGATATCAATGCAGGATCTGTTAGCTCTTACAGATATAACAGCCCTAAAAGCAGCTGCTGCCTCCAGATACTAACTGCCTCTGTACAGACTGAAGATGACGCTCAATGCACAGACATGGCATCACCAGTGGTGGAAGAAGTACTCAGATCTTTTACTTAAGTAAAGGTAGCAACACTTATTTGTAAAAATACTCTGATAAAGGTAAAAGTCCTGGATTCATTTACTTAAAGGGCCCATGTCATGCTTTTCTGGTTATGACCCGTCCCCTTGTGTGTTATGTAGCTTTTTCTGCATGTAAACGGTCTGCAGAGTCACAAACCCTCAAAGTACACCCTGTAGCGAGTAAAACTCTAACACAGAAAAGACCTGTCTATGCTGCCCCAGAACGCCTCGTTGGAGATTTCTCTTTTTCCATTGTTTACTTCTTGGGTATAGTGACCTATTTGGGTATAGTGACGTAACGTAACGTCCGCGGAGCCGTTACATTTGGACCAATCCGCGGACTTCCTCACACACACACACTCGGCGGGACGTTGCGAGGCTCGCTGCTGCGAGGAGCGGGACACTGTGAGCTGGCTCACTGGTGTGGGGTCGGGGAGACAGCGAGACACCGCGGAACTCAGCCTGGGCACACACACAAACTCCCAGCCAGGCTGCGGGTGTGTGTGTGTGTTTCGGGCTGGGTTTCGCTGTCTCGCAGACGGCCACTGGGCTCACAGGGAGGGGGGGGCAGGAGCTCCAACAAGCCGTTTAGGACAGAGAGTGAATACACATACTATACAGAGATGCTGTATGAGAAACCAATGTGAGTTTGGAACATTGAACAATGTAAATCTATTCTAGTAGACCTCAACAATGGAATTATGATCAGTAGAAATGGCCATGACATGGGACCTTTAAGTAAATGAACAAAAGTATTGGCTTCAAAATGTACTTAAAGTACCAAAAGTAAAAGTAATTCGGAATCCTATATATTAAATGACGGGATATTGATTATTGAGGCATTAATGTGTTCATCACAGCTCCATTTGGAACTCATTTTAATTAATTATATATGGCTTCTGGATATATTTACCTAAAATTAAATGTTAATGTTCATTTTTAGTTATTAGTTGATTTATATTCTATTTCAGTTTATAATCTGAATCTATAAAGTAACAAATGTAGTACCGTAGTAAAGAATAAAGTACAATATGGGCTGCTAAAATGTAGGAAAGTAGAAGTATTAAGTAGCATAGCATTAAAATACATTAAATGAATACTACAGTTATGTGAAATCTGTTGATATAATACATTTATTTAAAATCAACGGTTCAGTTTTTTCAGTGTACACCAAACTGGAATTACTATCATTATACACTTCCTGTGTCTTCCATTGACACCAGGTCCTTATCATGTTATCCCAGTGAAGACAGATCCATAACTGAACTGATGGAAGCATTATTCCGGCATTACTCCTCCGGGTGGGAATATGTATCAGCGTCAGCGAGATTTGAAGACACTCACCCTGTTAAAGCGCTTGGCCTGGAAGAGGTGTCCGTTGACTCGGTAGAGTTTCCTCCATCTTCTGGCCCCGCGGCGATAGATCGATTCTAGGAGAGAGAGGAAACGGTTGTAAAGTAGCAGCATGGTGAGGGGCTGATGGGAAATATCTGTGCCGAACAATGGGTGAGCAATGAGTGATAGAGAAGAGGGTAAGCTGAAGGAGGTCCTTCCTTCTCGAGTAGTCTGAGTTCAAGTGAGGGGAAGACACACATCACGTTTCTCTACAATGCGCACGCATGCTCACACACATACACAGCAGACTCACACACATACACAGCAGACACACACACATACACAGCAGACACACACACATACACAGCAGACACACACACATACACAGCAGACACACACACATACACAGCAGACTCACACACATACACAGCAGACACACACACATACACAGCAGACACACACACATACACAGCAGACACACACACATACACAGCAGACTCACACACATACACAGCAGACACACACACATACACAGCAGACACACACACATACACAGCAGACTCACACACATACACAGCAGACACACACACATACACAGCAGACTCACACACATACACAGCAGACACACACACATACACAGCAGACACACACACATACACACACATACACAGCAGACACACACACATACACAGCAGACTCACACACATACACAGCAGACTCACACACATACACAGCAGACACACACACATACACAGCAGACACACACACATACACAGCAGACACACACACATACACAGCAGACACACACACATACACAGCAGACACACACACATACACAGCAGACTCACACACATACACAGCAGACACACACACATACACAGCAGACACACACACACAAACCCAAAGGGCCTGTCTCTCGGCTCTCCCTTCATCTTCCTCTTTCTTCCCTAGCTTCTTCCTCTCCTCAAAACCTCCATCCCTTCTTTTCTTTCACTTCTGGTGATGATTGGACTCATTAGTGCTCCATAATACATTGTATTCAGATGAGACCATCAAGGTGTAGCTATTTTTAACAGGATCATGTAGTCAGCTATTATTAAACTGCAGAGCATAAACATGCGCCGGCGGTGTGCTGAAGCTTCTGTCGTCATATTAGACTATTATTTAAATGATCCCACATTCCGCTCTTACAAATGGTTTATCTGGATTCATGATGACCTGCTGAAGCAAAACTGAGAGATCTACTGGTTTGATTTTATAATATTTAAAATCTAGATAAAGAAGAATATGTTCTGTATTTAGGTTTAAGTATGCTCAGATTAGTTTATACATGATGAATGGCAACACACTTAAAACTTAACTTGACTTGGTTACTTCGATACCATTTGGATCTTATTCAAAAAGACAAATTCTGTTCATGTTCAGCTTCATATTAGTATTTAGTTTCTCTACTGGGACATGTCTCCATACTTTAATGAGTTTAGAAATGACGTAAGATTGAATCTGTTACTTGGTGACAGGGGCGCATTTGCCAGGTGACATCTCCTAAAATGCAATGCAACACAAAAACATGGCTTCTCAAAGATTACCAGGATCCTTTATGAATCATACATATTTTCACTAAAGATGAGATGCATTACAACAAATTGGCATCTCTAGACTTTGCACTTGCTCAGATGTGTGTGTGTGTACTCCCTCAGATTCTCAATATCCACTTGTAATTTAGGACTCAAACCTTGCACCAGGCAGAGAAAATGTGTGCAAAAACCCAGGTTCTAACTTTCACAGCTCTGAAAATCCTAGATAGGGAGAGTGGATCATGCCTTAAAGGATGCCAACATATGCAATGACCATTTGTAAGCTTTAACACCTCTGTTGCTACCAAAGATGAAGGAGTGCAATTGCACTCAACTTCAGGCTATCAGAAATAGTAACAGAATTTAATCAACGTTAAATTCACCTTGGGGCACCATTATTCAAAAAATGGAAATCCTTTTTAATTATTTCAATCTCAATTCTGGAGGTTGCTACTGAGTTCTTGGCTGGTGCACCGAGTTCATGGCGGTATGCAATGCATTCAGCCATTCAACTAATAACTGAATATGGAAAATAATTAACAATATAAAGCACCCAAGGATATCTTAGTGAGATGTATTCATTTATGAAAAGTGGATGATAAGAGAGTTCCCACCAAAACTCGCGGCAGTGAAAGCTAGCAAAGACAACACACAACTTCACTTTACGGGGCCAAAACGGCAAATACGTCTTACCTTCGCTGTTTTCTGATCAAAAGTTGTGTTCAAGGGCATTACAACGCATATAAACGCTGCTGAAGGTTAATCCAATGTCTCTGTGTCACTTTGCAATGATTACTGATAATCCATCATCATATTTATGTCAATAAACGGAGTTTTCATAAAGAGTGTATGAGAGCTGTAACCCAGCTTCCGGTTTTGGGCATGCTGGCTGCGCATCACTCTCATTCACCAATGGTAATGTTTAGATGGATTTAGGAACTCCCTCTCGATCGGTTCAAAAGAGGTGTCAATCATCAAAATCGACCAATGGGTTCCAGAGATACGGCAAATACACCCAAATGACCCCAGAGGTGTTTTTATTTTGCTAAATCTCTCACTCTCAACATTTCACTTGTTTTGAATCAATCTTGATACAGGGTACTTATTATATGTTATAGTTTGGATTCCTAAAGCTTTTTGTCTACTATCCCATCATTCAAGGGTGGTTTTCACTATAAGTCATGGGTTTTTTTTGGACGGAAACTATAATTTATATTTTTTTACTATGTTCAATCTGAATTTACTTTAAAATAAAAACATCTATATTAATTCTGACTTTTCTACATCCAACTCACAGGTTTATCATTGCTTTGAGAGAAAAGATTATTAATTTACCCCTTTTAGAAGATATTATAGTCACTTGTTCTGGGAATGTCATTTTCGAGCCTGAAACCTGAAAAACAGGCTCAGGGCTTAACAGGTTAATGCATTACCTATATATTAATGTTGTATTCTGGTTGGCATAGTTCCCCTAAAGTAATGATTTGGCTTATTTGAAGTTTGGTGCGTGTTGCTTTAAACACATACTACCAGCAAATTACTGAAGTATTAACAGATAACGTAGGTTTCAGTTATAGGTCACCTATTAGGCAAAATCCACGTTTCCATGTCTTTTATACATAAACATGTGTCCCGTCTGTGTACAAAGATTCTGAAAGTTTCAGGAACAAAGATTCTCTCTCTTTTTGTCCTGATCCATTTTTATAAAAACCTGTCTGAAAATGAGCTGATCAGATTTTGGCCACTTTATGATGTCATAACGTTTTTTTGGCTTGTGTAACCATTAGCCAATCACCAACCAAGGTAACCCCCCCGCCCCCACCTTATCACCTGAATCTCCTCCTAGAGCACCATTGAGTTCTTTTTAACCAAATCTCTCTCAGAGGGGCGTGGGGAGGGGCTCCTTATTTTCATCTAAAGTAACAGACAGAGAATCAGCACTTTTGAAGCAGGGCTGAAACAGAGAGGATTATGGGATGCTGCAATGATCTGTTTGGTGTTTGGAGCCAAACACTTCAGAGACATGTTTTGTATATATCTGAGACCTATAATATATTGATGAAAAACAGTATAATAGGGGACCTTTAATAACAGAAACATGACCGGTACACAACAGAATGTACGGCTTCATGACCCAGCTCTTAACACAAAATAGCTAAACAACAATAACTAGTGACAAGAAGTTCAATATGAAACATGCCGGCCCACAGTCTAATCCATGTCACGGGGTATAATGAACAAAGTGTATAACCATCCTGCATCATGTCTGCTGTTCCTATAAATAAGTCATGGTTCAATCATCTACCAGTGTGCGGATCATCACTTTAGTAATCACTGCGGGAAATTATTATAGGCAACCATTATATTTATATTAGCAGCAGAACATTTTGATTTCAGGGTCTTACATTAGGCAGTGCTTAAAAAAGAAAACAATTTGATGCTCTATCCCAGAGCAAGCAGGAGAGGAGCTGAGTAACTCGACGTAACGGACAAGTGAGGACAGCAGCTTGGCCAGAAATGGACTATATAACTGCAGAACACACAGAATTATGTTGTTTATAGGAAGATCTTAAACTTAAAAAGTAATTGACATGAGACAACTGTTTTAACAACACATTTGGATTAATGCGCCACTAAAACTAGTCCCAATCAAATGCCCTTTTTCCTCCTGTTTGAGTAATGTCTGTAAAAACTATAGTGATCAGCTATTTAATGCAATAAGATAACATATTTGTGAGGTGTTTCTTAAGAGTTAAGTCTTGGGGTTAAGTTAAGTCTTCCTCCTAGCTCGTCGAGCCATCCTACTTAAGTGGAGGGACAGTGTCCCGCCCACTCATTTTCAGTGGTTGACAGACGTAATGTCCTGCATGAAATTTGAAAAGATCAGATATTGACTTCTACACTCAAACAGGAAATGTCAGGAAGCCTGGGGACCTTTTTAAAATGCATTCCACACTCTGTAAAACAATCTGCTATCGGTATAGCTTATCTGCAGCATATGTATGTAAGTATGTATACAGTACAGTATATGTGTATGTTGCATGTACTGTATATATATGCATATGTACTGCATGCATATATATTCATTAACCAACATTTCTGGAGAATCTTCGTATGTATGAAGCTCACTGTCAGTGAATGTAGGGGATTACTTAAAGATCACCTATTGTGCAAAATCCACATTTCCATGTCTCTTCTACATCAACATGTGTCCCCTCTTCTTCATGTCTCTTCTACATCAACATGTGTCCCCTCTTCTTCATGTCTCTTCTACATCAACATGTGTCCCCTCTTCTTCATGTCTCTTCTACATCAACATGTGTCCCCTCTGTGTAAAGAGATTCTGAAAGTTTCAGGAAAAAAGATTTGCTCACTTTTTGTCCTGATCCATTTATATAGAAACCTGTCTGAAAATGAGCTGATCAGATTTTGACCACTTTATGATGTCATAACGATGTTTTGGCTTGTGTAACCATTAGCCAATCACCAACCAAGGTAACCCCCCCCCCCCTACCTTA